TCGTATGCAATGATATAATATCATTGGAGTCAAATTTAATTCCATCCATTACAGTAACCCACTGTAACCTACTGTACAGCAGAGCAACATCCTCGACTTACCTACCTGATTTTTTAAATTAAAAACAAATAGGTACTTACAGTAAATTAATATTTATCGCAATTCGCAATCATCGGTCTTAAAAGGGCGCTCCAGCGTATCATGTTTTAAGGAGTAATATTTAGGCAATTTGTATGACATGAACATTTTGGCTTTGAATATGTGTGAGTAGTAAATAGTGTGTGAAATCCGTTATCGCTTTAATCATACTGCCACCCGCCCATAATCCAAAATACAAATTTCTGAAACTACGATAAAAAAACGTCCTCCCGATACCCCTGACAACTATGTGAACAACCAACCAAACTCACTACTTGACAGTTTATAAKAAATTATACGAWGATGATCGCGGCCGCTCGTACCGATGGTTGTACGACAAAAGGATGGAAACAGGTTACATGGGTGGCATGATGTTAAAAATACTACAAATTATGTATGGTGGCCGGGGGGGGGATACGGTCGATAAGATCTGGTGCAATGATGGAGCAGGTCTTACAGTGAGATGTGCACTTAAAATTAACTTAAGAATACGATGAGGACGGTGCGTGTTGAGGTTGGTGAATAGAAACTGGACGGCTTTGGTGGTCTCTCAGACACCACTCCGGGTATACTGGTGGACTAACGCGTGCTCGCAAACGATCATCAACAACTGACACAGGATCGACGGTGGCGCGGAGACATGACTTGTTAGCAAGGAATGCCGTGTTGCGGCTTTGCACTGACATGTGCGAGGAAAATGGAAAATCAAAGAAAACGACTCAATTATGGGTGTTGTGGTGGAGTTTATTTTTCAACAGATGTTCTGGTACAACCTCCCGCAATGGCGATGAACGATTTACAGATTATACGCGRTGATCAACAATAAACAAAAACAATGCCGTGGTGGCGATTTACGAAACAAGATTTGAGAAAAACCACAGTGAGACCCTAGGGTTTACTTTAATAGCGAACACACACCAACAACGAAAACGACAGWAAAGCATCATGATATGATAAAACGAATGATACATACAAAGACATTTGAAATAGAATACATATAACGAGAAAAAACAAAGAGAATATACATTTTTAATTATACAACAATATTTACACGGATAATTATCGGATGGGAGGAGGACTAGAGGAGGGTGGTTAGGTTAGGTCGACTTTGAGCAGACTACCTGGACAACCTTATCACATCAATGCGGGTAGCCGCATGATAGTCACCTTTGGCGCGAACAAACATTTTCTATACTAAATAAAATTTTCAAAATATTTCAAATCTTTACAAGTTATTTAAAGACATTTGAAATTTTCAATCGTCTCATATTATTTTTTTATAAATAACAATACAATTTTATTCGTTTGGTAAAAAAGGTAATAAAAAATTTCTACCGGAAAGTCAAATTATTTTTTATAAGCATTTGAATTACAAAATTGGAAA